TGGTCAGTTTCAATGGTGGTCGTTTCTTTTTACTTTTTTTCTTCTCCCACCATGTGTAAATCAATCACGGCTTGCTTTAGAATAAGGGCTTTCAGTAAAATGATTCTTACCAACTTAACTACATTTCACCACTGTCCTCACAAGCACAGCCTAAATCTGGCTGTGAGGTGAAATTACTTCATAGGAACTCATGTTGAGTTTTTGGAACCATGTTTCCTGGAGTAGTATTTCAACAAGCATGTTAGAACATAAGAATGATCATACTGGATCAGATCAACGGTCCATCTAGCCCACTATCCTGTCTTCCGACAGTGGCCAATGCCAGGTGCCCCAGAGGAAATGAACAGAACAGCCATTCATCAAGTGATCCATCCCCTGTCGCCCATTCCCAGCTTCTGGCAAACAGAGGCTGGGGAATCCATCTAGGCACATCCTGGCTAATAGCCATTGATGGACCTGTGCTCCATTAATTTATCTAGTTCTTTTTTGAACCCTGTGATAGTCTTGGCCTTCACAACATCCTCTTGCAAGGAGTTCCACAGGTTGACTGTGCATTCTGAAAAAATACTTCCTTTTGTTTGTTTTTTAAACTTGCTGCCTATTAATTTCATTTGGTGGCCCCTTGTTCTTATGTTATGAGAAGGAGTAAATAACACTTCCTTATTTACTTTCTCCACACCAGTCATGATTTTATATCATATCCTCCCTTTGTCATCTCTTTTCCATACTGAAAAGTCCCAGTCTTATTAATCTCTCCTCATACAGAAGCTGTTCCAGACCCCTAATCATTTTTGTTGCCCTTTTCTGAACCTTTTCCAATTCCAGTATATCTTTTTTGAGATGGGGCGACCACATCTGCATGTAGTATCCAAGATGTGGACGTACCATGGATTTATACAGAGGCAATATGATATTTTCTTTCTTACCTATCGCTTTCTTAATGATTCCCAACATTCTGTTCACTTTTTGAACTGCCGCTGCACATTGAATGGATATTTTCAGAGAACTATCCATAATGACTCTAAGATCTCTTCCTTGAGTTGTAACAGCTAATTTAGACCCCATACTTTTATATGTATAACTGGGATTATGTTTTCCAATGTACCTTGCTTTGCATTTACCAACATTGAATTTCATCTGCCATTTTGTTGCCCAGTCACCCAGTTTTGTGAGACCCCTTTATAGCTCTTCGCAGTCTGTTTTGGACTTAACTATCTTGAGTAGTTTTGTATCATCTGCAAATTTTGCCACCTCACTATTTACCCCTTTTCCCAGAACATTTATGAATATGTTGAATAGTACTGGTCCCAGTACAGACCCCTGGGGGACACCACTGTTTACCTCTCTCCATTCTTAAAACTGACCTACCCTTTATTCCTACCCTTTGTTTCCTATCTTTTAACCAGTTACCAATCCATGAGAGGACCTTTCCTCTTATCCCATGACTGCTTACTTTGCTTAAAAGCTTTTGATGTACACTATATCCACTGGATCCCCCTTGTCCACATGCTTTTTGTGACCCCCTCAAAGAATTCTTGTAGATTGGTGAGGCATCATTTCCCTTTACAAAAACCATGTTGACTCTTCCCCAACAAATTATCTTCATCTGTGTCTCTGACAATTTTGTTAATTACTATAGTTTCAACCAGTTTACCCGGTACTTTGAAGTCAGGCTTACTGGCCTTTAATGGCCAGGATCACCTCTGGAGCACTTTTTAAAAACTGGTGTCACATTATCTATCCTCCAGTCATTTGGGACTGAAGCTGATTTAAATGATAGGTTACAAACCACAGTTAGTAGTCCTGCAATTTCACATTTGAGTTCCTTCAGAACTCTTGGGGGACTATCATCTGATCCTGGTGACTTATTACTGTTTAGTTTATCAATTGGTTCCAAAACCTCCTCTAATGACACCTCAATCTGGGACAATTCCTCAGATTTGTCACTTAAAAAGAATGGCTCAGGTTTGGGAATATCCCTCACATCCTCAGCAGTGAAGACTGATGCAAAGAATTCATTTAGTTTCTCCGTAATGGCCTTATCGTCCTTGAGTTCTCCTTTAGCATCTCAATTGTCCAGTGGCCCTCACTGCTTCTTGTACTTTGTTTAGCCATGGTGGCACTTTTTGCTTCTCTGTTTTTTAATTTGGGGGTATACATGTTGCATTGAAGGCTCTCTTGGGACTGATGATATTTTAGTACCCAATAATCTGGTTGAAATGGAATTAAGAATCTCCTCTGTACTTTCTGGAGAAATAACCTAAGAAATTTAATTCAAGAACACAAAAGAGGTGGCAGTTTTTTGTTGTAATTCAACTGAATTACATTGAATTCACTGAAGACATTTGTGTCTTAACACATTTTGGTGTGAGTATATGTAAATAAATCATGTGGGCTGGACATCCCTAAGACCAGTTTTGCAAACAGATCTATCAGTTTAATAAAATATTTTCAAACAGCATTTCCTTTTTGTACAATTTCTAAACTGATTAATAGTGGTGCCACGGAGGAAACACTTTTTGCTCTCCTGCGGATATGACGTGGACTAGAGGGAAGGAAACACATTATATGTGGAATTTTGCCAAAGCAAAGTATTGTTTGTGTTCACTTAAAACCAAAGGTGAAAATGAAAACTGCCCTTCAGGACAGTAGAGTTGTCATAGAATCATAGAATATCAGGCTTGGAAGGGACCTCAGGAGGTCATCTAGTCTGACCCCCAAAATGCACTGCAGAAGCCATTTGCTTAAAGCAAAGTGGTGCTTGAACTCACAACATCAGCATCACTCCATATAGCACTGCTCTATAAGTACTCTGCACTAACCCATTGTGCCACTGGAGCCCACTTCCACCCTAAAAAGAGGGGAGGGGGTGCCAAAATGTGGGGGCAAATTCGTGAACACTAATGATTGCCTGTCTGTTTGTCTATCATTCATATTGCCCATATCACCATAGTACAAGGGTCGGCAACGTTCGGCACGCGGCTCGCCAGGGTATGCACACTAGCCGGCCGGGCCAGTTTATTTACCTGCTGACGCGGCAGGTTCGGCCGATCGCAGCCCCCACTCACCACGGTTCGCCGTCCCGGACCAATGGGGGCGGCGGGAAGCAGCACGGGCCGAGGGATGTGCTGGCCATGGCTTCCCGCCACACCCATTGGCCCAGGACGGCGAACCACGGCCAGTGGGGGCCGCGATCTGCCGAACCTGCCAGTGCAGGTAAATGAACTGGCCCGGCCCGCTAGGGTGCTTACCCTGGCAAGCTGCGTGCCGAACATTGCCGACCCCTGCCATAGTACCTGACCTATATGAACAGAGTTTTACCCTTTTGCCATAAAAATCAACATTAACTGATGGAGACGGTGCTAGTTTATTATGGAGGAAATCCACTAATGCTTGTGAAAATGTAAATATGCCCCAACACAAACCTGGCAGCTTCAGCCTCCAGCCAGCAAAAGGTTTTACATGGATAAATCCTGAACTTCAGCTTAACTGGCTGTTTGTTTCTTTTAAAAACATGTGTTTTCGGGTCACAACGATAAATGACATTTGTTTCTCTTTGTTTCACTAGAATGATTACAGGAAGTTATCTATGCAATGCAAGGATTTTGTTGTGGGTGTACTGGATCTCTGCAGGGATACAGAAGAAGTGGAGGCTATTCTGAATGGAGATGTGAACATAAAAGTGTGGCCTGAGCACCCCCGCCCAAGCCTGAGCAGAATTAAACTTGCCATTAAATATGAGGTCAAAAAGGTAAGATCTTTCCTTTAGTTGGTAAAACATCCATTGCTTTCAGTGGGACCAGGATTAACCCTTGGAATTTAGCCTTTCTATGGCTTTATTTGCAGGTGGTTGCACACTTTAATATGGAAAATGTTACCGTTAAACTGTTAATTATTATGGATATGGTGGTGCTTTTACAATGTTAAAAGGAAGGTTGGATGGCTCAAGGGATTGGTAAAATTATATAGGGGCCTCTCATCTCTAGGGTAGCTTACACAAGTAGGACTGTGGAAAAGTTTGGTAGTGGTTTCAAGTCACTGCCATTGCAATATGCAGTGTTACTGTAGCGGTGTGAGTGCCAGGATATTAGAGAGACAAGGTGGACAAAGTAATACCTTTTATTGGGCCATCTTATGTTGGTGAGAGAGATAAGACCTGAAGAAGAGCTCTGTACGAGCTTGAAAGCTTGTCTCACGGAAGAGTAGCTGGGGGTTCAATACAACCCCAGATTGAAAATGCAACTAACAAATGTCAGAAGCACACTCTCAGTCTAAGGGATACATCTACACAGCCCCTCCCCCCCCCCAAAAAACCCCTCACGGCAATGAGTCTTAGAGTCTAGGTCAACTGATCGGGACTCTCGGGGCTCAAGCTGTGGAGCTAAAAATAGCAGTATAGACATGGAGGCTTGGGCTGGTGCCTGGGCTCCAACACCTTCCCCCCTCACCAAGTTTCAGAGCCCAGGCTCTGGTCTGAGCTCAAACATCTACACTGCAACGTTTAGCCCCGCAGCAGAAGGCATAGTTGACCTGAGACTTGCTCTGTGGGTCGTTTTTTGCTGGGTAGACAAACGCTTAGAGGGAGATACCAGCCTCATCAGATCACCCAGTTGTTTTCCAAACTTTCAGACATCATCTCGGTCTTATCCAGACTGAGCTTCAGCCAGTGAGCTCTGAGCCATGCCCCATGAAAGTCAGTGGGACTTATGCTCTGAAGTCACTTAGGTAGTTTGAAAAAAACAACCGCACGCGTTATGTAGTGCCACAGAATAAGCATGCCCCACACGTAGCATTTATGGAGGAGAAAAGGCCCCTGACTAGATCTGGTGAGAAAACAGAATTCCAATTCCTCAACAACAACAAAATAGTTTTTTGGGGGAAAATTGGCCCCCATCAGGACAAAAAGACAAAAACTCGACGTTGTTCACCGAACTTGAATTCCATAATAGTCTGTTTTGGGCACACTGAAATGTTCCCACAGAAGGCATGTTTCAGTGTTCGCAAAATGTTCCCCGAGATCCCCAGCTAACAGGTTGCCCAAGAGCCTGGGAACCACAGGAGCTATGGAGCCTGGGTGACCAAGCTCCCCTTTACCCTGCCAGGTACTGGGATTTCTCATAGAAGATCCCCCTCAACAAAAAATGGAAACCCCAATACCCTACCCCTGCTATTGCTCACAGCTAGGAGCTGCTGAGTGAAATTAACAACTGTCTGACCAGTTTCATGGCTGCTATTCAGCTGTAGGGAAACTAACAAGAATTATGTCAATTTCAGTCAGCTTCCTGGATTCCAAGCACCCCACCAGTCCAAATGGTGGGCTACTGGAGAACCTGGACTTCCCCAATCAGGGTTGGGGAGCCCAAGTTTCCCAGTCAGATGGACTGCCAAGGTCTCGAAGCCTGGTAGCCTGGGCTCCTCAGCAACCTCCCTGGTGGTTTTGCCAATTCCCTGGAAAGCTACTGGGGAGTTTGGGAGTTACGGCTTCTGGGGACACGGGCAAGCTGTCAGAAACCTGCTTGGTTTCCATCAAAATGTCATTGAAATCAACACTTTCCCATTGAACATTTCTATTTCAAGAAATGGGCATTCTCTGGTTGGAAAAAAAATGTTCTGCTGGAAAATTTCTGAACAGCGCTACCCTGACGCAAAGAACTGGCAGACTAATGGACAGGTAATAATGCCAATCTGAAGGGATGTACACATTGTGAAAGAGGTGTATTTTGACAGTGGATCTGAAGGTGCTGGTTCTCTCTTACACACGGTCCTAAATGACATATTCCCACATACTAAAATTGGCATTCTTGACAGTCTACATATGCGATTTTCCAGCAATGATGCAGTAACACTGAGATCAGCAATAGTGTAAGCACCATTTTAGTCAGGAATAGGGCCATGGTTTTCATGAGCCTGTCTCCACTATGCTTGTGCAGTAGCTACTGCCAGTGGAGTTGTAGATGTACCCATAATTCCATACTCATCCTCAAGATTCACCCTCCAGGAAATGACTGAGAACCATGAATGGTATAATATGGAGAAGTCTGTGTATGTACTCTTTGGATAAAGCGAGAGCCCTGGAGATTGACATCCTCTATCTGTCACATTTCATAAGCAGTAAAAAAGAAATGAAGCAACCCCTAACTCTGCTCCTATTCAAGACAATGTTCCCTTTGAAATCATAAGCAAAACCTTTACAGACTTCAGTGCAAGCAGTTAGGTCGACACAGAATGCTTTTGAAAATCCCTCTCTGATACCATTGAGAGAATGAGTGCTGACATGGCAGTAAATAAATTTAACTCATGCAAAAGTATTTTCTGATTTTTTTTTGACTGAATATCCAGAAGTTAGACTTCAGCATTTGCTAAAAGGCCTTATCAGGCTAAAATACTCCTGCGTCACTTAACCTCAAGAAAGCGATCTTGGCGTCATCGTGGATAGTTCTGTGAAAACATCCATTTAATGTGCAGCGGCAGTCAAAAAAGCAAACAGAATGTTGGGAATCATTAAGAAAGGGATAAATAATAAGACAAAAAATATAATATTGCCTCTATATAAATCCATGGTACACCCACATCTTGAATACTGCATGCAGTTGTGGTCACCCCATTTCAAAAAAGATATATTGGGATTCGAAAAGGTTCAGAAAAGGACAACAAAAATGATTAGGGGCCTGGAACAGCTTCTGTATGAGGAGAGATTAATAAGACTGGGACTTTTCAGCTTGGAAAAGAGACGACTAAAGGGGGATATAATAGAGGTCTATAAAATCATGTCTGGTGTGGAGAAAGTAAATAAGGAAGTGTTATTTACTCCTTCTCATAACACAAGAACTAAGGGTCACCAAATGAAATTAATAGGCAGCAGGTTTAAACAAACAGAGAAGTATTTTTTCACACAACGGACAGTCAGTATGTGGAACTCTTTGCCAGAGGATGTTGTGAAGGACAAGACTATCACAGGGTTCAAAAAAGTACTAGATAAGTTCATGGAGGATAGGGCCATCAATGGCTATTAGCCAGGATGGTGACCCTAGCCTCTGTCTGCTAGAAGCTGGGGATGGGCAACAGGGGATGGATCATCTGATGATTACCTGTTCTGTGCGTTCCGCCTGGGGCACTTGGCATTGGCCACTGTCGGAAGACAGGATACTGGGTTAGATGGACCTTTGGTCTGACCCGGTACAGCTGTTCTTATAACCCTGCCTTCTTGGAGCTGCTGTTGTTCATTTCTGATATACTGACCAAATTCATTCAAAAGTTATTAAGTGTTTTATTGATCCCAGCAAACTCTTTTTGAAATAGACACTGCATTAATCCCATCCACTCTGTGTTGAAGCAGAGAGTGTAAGAGTTAGCTATGTCTCTCTACTAGCTCTGCTTCATTAATGTATAGAAAAATAAATCAATATTAAAAAAATTCTAGGACCTCTTCTTCCACTTTTCCAAAAGTATGTGCCAACGTTGGATCACTCATTTGATCAGGTCACATTTTTAAAGGTAACTTCTTCTGCATTGATGTTACAGTAAGAGAACTTAATTAGTGGAACAGATAGGGATGTTGAAAGGGGATCATCAAAGCTGGTCTTCTGAGCGTAAGGAAAATATTTTGAAAGCAGCAAAAGAGAGAAGGAATGGTTTCGTTTTAGAAAAATATTTAAAATGTTCTGCTTTATGGAAGCATGCTCTGAATGAAAAATTTGGTTCTGGCAAATACCAGGTCTGGGAGGTGCAGATTAATGATTTCAACAATGTGCTTTGATGGAAATTGGGCTCCGATAACTGGGCTTAAAGAGTTGTTCCAAATTTTCCAGCTAACATCTGCTATCTCCTTCCCCCACCACCTGCTTACTTCTGCCTCTCAACAACATTGCTTTGTTAGCCAGAGAAGGTCTCTTCCTGTTATGGAAGCAGTTAATTAAAGAGAAACTTAACTCTTAATTTAAATGCTTTCATAAGGGGGAAAATGGTATGGAGCTAGTCTGTATAACAGAAAGACAAATTATTCTTCCCAGGATGGTGCAGCTATGCACTGTCCCATACTCGCAGTTTAGTATCAAGACTCCAGCCATCCCCAGTTGAACTCCCTTAAACAAATTGGGCCCAATTCTGTGTCTTGAACAGGTGCCAGCTCATTGACTTCTGTGGGCTTGTATTGTTGTAAGTCAGAACAGAATTTGCCCTTGTGTCCTTTTAGAAGGCTAACTAGTCCGAAATACCCTTGTACTGTATCATCAAAGAATGATCCCTAGAAGACTAACAAGGTAATAGCTAAAGCAAAGCTTTTGAGAACGCCAGACACTTTTGCTGAGCACATCAAGTCCTCTCCACTTCTTTCCTTCATTCTCTGTTTCTTCTCACAAGTACTGTACTCGTCTCCTAGGTACAGAGAACTTTGAAACTGTGCGTTGGACAAGATGTAGCTGAACTGCTGTGTCAATCATTGCACTGCCTTCAGTATACCTGTTCCATCAGCTCTTTAGCCAGCTCATTTTCAGAGGCTCATCTCCAGTGAGTGCATTGTTTCATAATGCATGCCCACAGCGTCCCTATTGACTTGCCAGTTCTGCAGCATCAGATGAATCCAAAAAAAAAAAGTGTTCTGATTTGTTGTATGCAGTTGAGATCAACTACATATTTTGTCCTTCTGTTACAAAATATATTCTTCAAAACTGATCATCCTAATTTGGGCATCATTTATTGTAAGTACTAGATCAATTACATAACATATGAATACTGTCTTCAGTAAATCTTGTG